ATTTTCTAACTCTTCTCCATCTCTCTGCCTTGTCTCCCTTCACTTCTCCCGACTACCACCCATTTCTCAGTTCTTAGGACAACTAACTGCACAGGTTCACACATACACTATCTTTGGCCATATTAACAAACATCGATAACTAGATGACAAAAAGGAAATAAACCAACATTTTGGCCTGATTTGTTCTGTCCTCTAACAGAAACAAAACTAGCCATAACATTGTAGCTCGATTATCTCTTTACCAAAACTGTATGCGTATAACTTCATTCTATCACTCTCTGCCATGTTTGCCTCTGGTAGATTTGCTGTCAAATAATTCTATTAGTTCACATCTGTTAAGATTTTGGCAGTTATGAACATGTAGAAACATGTTTTTTATTGTCTGTAATAGGGCGATGCAAACATTATACAATGTGTCCACTCATTTTAATGATTAAGGTTCCCAGAGAGATTGACTACAAGTTAGAAATGGTAAGTCACTACAAAAACTCCCTTGAAATTTCTCCTCAGAGGTATTACAATGGGATACACTGCACACATAATATTGTTTAATACATTATGATTAAGTCTTCTCTTTTAAAACTAAGACACCAGTATCAAAAAAAAAATTAAAATTGTGTTACCTATAAAATATTATATGAATAAAATTGTGGACACCAATGTTTTATTTGATTTTCACCACATCGAACTATCAGAAAAAAGCCAGGCATAAAATCATGTGACTCATGTAAACTCTCCATTAAATATACAAACATGTTTAGTCTCTCCAAGACAAGCTTTATTTTAATATCTAGCTAATATTTCATGTTAAAACTGAGATTTTAAAAAATGACAAAAAAATACACAGTTCTAAAAGTAATATTTTAATATAAAGAAGCATTTGTTACTTGCATTGTTCATTTCTGATGTTTTTCTTTGTAATGACATTTGCTCTCTACATTTTAGTTTGGGAATTTGACAAAGGGGTAGAATTGAGATCCAGTAGGGCCTTAAACTATTGAATCATACCTCACTAAGTTTTTTAACAGAGGAGAAATGGATTTTTACTTTAATCAATCTTTGAATTAACTTAATGACTGAAGGTTTTAATTTTTTTTTACTATATATGTATATATACTAAATACTATGCATACACACACAGTATGTGCATTTTACAAAAGAAACTCTGTATAGTGATTTATATTATTATCAGTAAAAGTACCAGATTGAAGGTAGAATACAATGTAGTCATAACTTTAAGTATTATCAAAAAGTACTCTAGAGACTCCAAAATTCAATTAGTCATTTTACAAAAACCTGTTAAAAAGAAAAGGAGGTTATAATTACAAGATAAATATACTGAGATGTCAATCAGAATCCCTACTCTCAGATCTAGGACAGAAAATATAATAGAATGGTCAGATGAATTTCTTTCATAACGTCACAAGTATAAAGGAATGTATGACAAACAAGTTCATGGGCACAAATGTATTTGAGATGAAAAACAATTTCTAGTTTCATGCAACATCTCTCATTCTCTGTGGCTTTGTTTGTTTATATACCAGACTTTTGAAGAGAAGAAGGTTGGAAATAATTTGACAAGCTTATATTGGAGAATGGATCTGTTGGGTCATTAGGTTGCACAGATTTATACTCAGACTACTAGTATATGACCTTTACTTGCTCCACACTTTCACCAATACTTGAAATTTTGATCTTCAACTTTCTGCAGAGTGTGTAGTAATTTATCATTGTGGTTTTAATTTGCATTTCCTTCATGACTGAGTTGAGTAGGTACTCACATTTTCATGTTTTTTGGCCAATAGGACATACTCATTCTTTTGTATGCTATTTTAAACATATTTGGCAGGCCTTTGAGCCACCATCATTGTCACCTGACAAGAATGGGCGGGGCAGGGGAGATGACTGCTGAAGAACACTTGAAGCAATTATTGATGGTATTATGTCTTCAAACAAGGACAAATAATTTTCTTTCTCTATTTTTCTCTTCTACCCATCTTCATTCTTCTTTTATTCTAATCTATTTATTGACCCTGTTTTTCTTCTTACCTTCTTTTTTTCCAGTCCAAAAAAGATCATTAAAATGAAGCCAATTAACAACGTCCAAGTACTTTATAGAAAGTTCAACAGTTCTTACTGTAGGACTGCCAAATATTTGAAGATTTTTTTTAATAAAGGAAAAAAAATTAGCATGCCTAACAATTTGAAAATAAATAGATCATTCATTAAATTTTAATAGAATAAATCTAAATATGTTTCCTTTTTCAAACTATGAACAGATAATGTTCAGTGAGCATTTTAAAGGAATATTAGAAGGAAAATGGGGGGTGGGGGGGCAGAATATATTGTAAAAAGAGACCAGTAAAAGAAGAATATACACACGGGTGCTTTCTTTCATCTTCTCTGAAGACTAAATACAAGTTACATTCAGCAAAAATAAAGTGGCCGTGACCTTTTTCCCTCCTCTGCATGATTAATTACTTAATGTCCTACTAATTGGAAGATGTGGCTGAATTTCAAACACTTTCATTTTCTGTGCATATCATCCTGTACTATAACCACCGATTAAGCTGTTCATCAAAGGTGAGCCAACAAGGTCATCTGAGCAGTATCTCTTTAGCTATTCATTACCCATCTTCAATGGTAATTAATAATAGTAACATTTCCATAAATCAACATCTCTCTGATTATTCTGATGATAAACAGTCAAAATGTGCATCCCAGACCACCTTTTTCAATTTTATATATATATATATATATTTAAAAAAAAAAAATTGGCTAAATATTCCACAGAGAAAACTCAGGTGAAATATTATAGGAGTTTCTTTAATGTACATGTATCAGGAAAATAAGGTTATATAACTTTGAAAGAAAAATAAAAACCTATGCACAAAACTAAATAACTCTGTTGACAACATAAGGGTCAAACATAAGAAGCGAAGGGTGTCAGCTACCTAGTACCAATTTATTTCTCTGGCAAGAAAATTATGGCTCAGTTCAGCTTCACAAATAACCATTTGCTTATTCAGCCATAGAAAGTGACAACTGAGAATAGAAAACAGATTTACTTCATCCTGATCTCAAAAGAACACATCACCAGGTGAACCAATAAAAAAAGTTTTCAAAGGATATATTTACTATATTCATTTATAAACCATATTTTAGAAATGTAACATTTAGGTTTTGTTTACCTTATACATTTGTGGTGTGCTGTTGTTTAGCATTGATGTTTTAACTTTGGGGAATTTTTTTGTATCATATTATTCAGCAAGTTCAGAGATGATATTGACAAAATTTTGTCTCTTCAATCACCAGAACTGACATTTCATTTCCAGTGGTTAGGTCTAAAATTGTCATATCTAAAATTCAGACTTAGCTTAGGAAGACTTTTCTGAATTTAGAAAATTCTGAAAGACTAAATAAAGCATAATAAATAAATAGTCATAATAAAAATACTAAAAATATATTTTAAAACTAAATTAATAATAGACAATCAGTCCATCAATTATGTAGTATATATTACAGTAATTATATATTATATATAGTATACTATATGTATGTTACATTGTTAAATATTATTGTATTGTGGGGGTCCAGAACAAGTCACTCTAAGATATGCTTCTGTGGTGTGTAGATTGTTTTGAGCTAAAGGGAACTTTAGCCACAGACTCAAAAGAAACTTCTGCTTCTTCCTTGACTACCTAAAAGAACTTGCCCTATATAAGAGATTATCAAATATAACCTCTTTTTATCTATCTGTAGGGCAGAATAAACTTCTATTTACTAAGCATTTGTTCTTCTTATCATCCTTCAATGATCCTTTGAAGCTCTGAAGACACCTTACCTCATCCCTAGCTCAGGACGTCTTATATATCTATGTTCCCTTTCTATCCCTGAACCTCTCATACATCTGGGGTCTCTCTCATGTATGCAGGGTTCTATTCGTATGTATGTATTAAATTTGGTTATTTTTCTCTTGCTAATTGTTCTCATGTCTATTTGATTATTAGACCAGCCAGAAGAACCTCAAGAGGAAAGTTTGCTCCTCTCTCAGAGTTTATTAAATACACATGATAGAATATGATATATAATTTATACCACATTTGATTATGTTTAAAAATTGGAAGAAAAACAGTTTTCCTCTTTAGTACAATATTCTAAAATTCCTGTTTGCGTTTTCAATTTTTACAATTAGTAAGTACTGTTAAACATATGTCCACAGGGCTTAGAATTAGTTTTAAATTAATATGTAGAATTAAAGGTAAAACTATTAGTCTGATAGTGTACAAAATAATATATATGCATTGATATCCTATGTTACTTAAGAGAAAACACAACTCAAACTGGTTTAAACAATAAGAAAATGTATAATTTTGAAAAACCAAAACCAAAGGATTTTACAAGGTAAGGATAAAGAATGAACAGGGCTCAGCCCTATCATTTTACAATTTACTCAGAAAAAGACTTTCTCTATTTGACAGTTTGGTATCCAGGTTGCCTCTCCTCAGATCCCCTGACTCACTCATGACCAGAAGGACAATGAGATAAGCTGTCTCTCCACCATGGAGAAAAAGTCCTTCCCTTTGTTCTGATTGGGTTGAACCTGTGTAGGTATTAAGTGAGCTAATCTCACATTTTAGATTATTTTGAAAGGATTTTGTTTGTTGCTCATTTTATTTATTTATTATTTCTTGGTTTCATCTCCATTTGGCTTTTTTTTTTTTTATTGAATAGGAAAAAAAAAAAAAAAACACTAATACTTATATTTTTCCAATGTCAGGGATAACAAAGATGTAGTGAGCACTCTTGAAGAATAACAGGATTAAAGAAAGTTATAGAGGAAAAAGTAAATAATATATTAGGGCTCTTAGATATGGTCAAGTAGCTTAACCATAGTAGTTTATCGTAACTGTTAAAATACTGTGTTATACCTACAATAAGAAAGTACTACACATTTCAAACTGATTTCCTCAACATTGGGTAAACAAAATGATTCTCACCTTGAGGCATCTCAGGTGGCAGATAGTGAGGTTCTTGAGCACTAACATGTACCCATTCAAAGTCATCATATAGATCCTGGTGGTAATCACAGGCCCCTGGACCATCATCAAAAGTACAGCCACCTAAAAGAAGAGAAGAACTATCATTACTTTCTAAAATGGAGCACATGCTGGAGAAGGAAATATTATACTGAAACACGCAATGTGGTACTCATAATTTTAAAAATAAATGGTACTCTTGTTTATCATTAGTCTAGTTAAATTTTCACATAAAATAAAATTTCTATTAGTTTCTGTCTGAATAAGAAACCAGAAAGAAGACTGAAGCACAGATTCTTAAATATTAAAAATAATAAAAGAGGTATGTATATCATATC